GCCTTTTGAAGACAACCACAAGGCTGATGTGGCCCCCAGTGAACATGAGTTTGATGCCCCTGATTTAGGTCTATGAGTATGGAGGGAGGGAAAAAAATTAATTCTAGAGCTGTAGTCACAGAAGGCCTTCAGTTTCAAAGGATACTAAAAATGTAAGGGTCTAGAATTCAAAGATGTGAGTATAGCCCCATAAAAGAGTTGTGTTTGGTAGTTTATGACTGGGATGTACAGAATAATAGGCTGTCTTCTTTCACACGTCTACATCTATGGGGAACAAGACTTCTTCCAGGACACCTTTGAGCTTCCTGGTGATTGTGATAGTAAATTTAAGCTTATTAGATACATAGACCAGTTCTCTTTAGCCCTTTTCCATGCCAGTAGTTATATAAGAGAAAAACAAACAAACTTGTTTTCTCTTTGAGACTTAGTGCTCTGTGCTACACTGCAGTCACCCTCCCTCCAGATGTACCTGTACTCACCCATGCTTTATATAACAGTGAATGCTCTGTTTTGCTTCCTTTATGACAAAAGGAATATAGATTCAGGTTTTAAAAAATTCAAGTTGGATTACTTTCAGTTGGTTGGAATAAAATCAAATATATTGTTGGCAAATTCAACTAAAATATTTTATAGACTTACTCTAATGGTTGAATAGGTAATACTATAATGGTTGAATAGATAATACATGTAAAAAAGTCATGCATAACACATGGTAGATTCTTGTTATTGTTTACATATAAAGACTTCTGTGAATCGCTTGGAACTCAGAGCAGCAATATAATTCCTTTAGGGGAGTTCTCTACAAATGGAGATGAGAGGACTAGGCCAAGTTCTTTCTCTGCACACCTGGAGAGGTATTTGGTTTGCATTTCCATAGGACCCAGTAATCACTTGTGACTCTGGTTTCCTCTGACACTAATTTGGAAGCTGTCACTCTCAGTTTTAAAGTAGCTATGAAGCACAGAGATGGATGGTTCTTTTACTACTGAGTGGTTCTAAAGATATCTTTGTGCAGGATAAACTTAATCAGGAGTGGCAAATAATAAATGAGGGTTATAAAAATTTAGGAATCTTTTACTTATCCTAATTGATGGCTCTCAGAAGAAGATTCATAATTTTTTGTTAGTTGCTCTTTACTTTCTTCAGTGTCTGAAGTCTTCAAGTGGCAGAATTTGGAGGGGGCTCTGTAAAATTAATTAACACTAATTGTATCATGAATTACTTTAAGGAGTCTGTTGAGTGATGGACCCAGTGAAGGGGGTCGATACCAATTAATGTTCAAGAGAGGATAATGCTGGTCTTTGGCACTATTGTATGAACATTAGGGCCGTTCAAGGGCTTGTCAGGAGCGGCTCTAAGGATCAGTTGATCATGGCAATTAAAACTATTGAAAATGACCTGACATTGCATTAAATGTGATGCAGCACTGCTCCCAGTATGAACAAACTTTCATTCCATTAGTGATTTCCAGTTTCATACCGAGCACTGCAATTTGTTTTTCTTAGTTACCTTACATGGCTGTCTATGCACTCCTCATAGGACATTATTAATATTTACCCTACTGTCTTGTGCAGCATTTTATGGTTAAAGCACTTTGCAATCTTAACTAATTAATCTTTATATCCTGCCTAAAAGGATGGTAAATACCCTTTTAGAGTTAGGGAAACTGAGTTGGGAGTGGTTAAGAACTGGCCATCAAGAAAATAATCTGATATATTCCAGAGTCTGGGTTTAAGGCCTCCCCCCAGCCCTTGGCACTAAAGTTAATAACACTTTGGTCCTGAAGGTCATGTTCGGAAATCTGGATAACCTTCTCTATACCCCCATAAGAAAGGTAAGTGTAATTATTTTTAAACAGACTACACTCTTTAACCCATGACTGCCCAAAAAATCATTTTAAAACATCATCGTAAAATGAGTAAAGAGAGTAACTTTTTAAAAAATCATTAAACTTTGGAAAGTTATTTATTTAAAGGAACTAGTGAACTAAATTTTACTGAAATCACATCTTTCAAAAACATGCTTTAGTGTATAGAGTAATGTAAAAATCACCCACATACCAATGTCAGATACTTCACATATACAATCAACCTAAAGCAATAGGTTGGTATTTACACACATGTACTGAGAAGGCAACAGAGTTTTGAGTGACTTGCTGATGAGTATATAGTTAATAAAAGACAATGCTAGAATTAAAATCCAAATCTGACTCTATAGTTCTTAGTTTTTACACTACAAAAGTGCTAATAATTATATTGAAACTGATCTTTAGTTAATAAATCCCATTCTCGACTCAACAATAATCTCATCCTTCTAATCCACTGAAATTTCTCAACACATTACTGAAGACCTCTCTTAGATGCCCTGAGTTCAGTCCATCACAGCAACACCTCCACACATGGAACTACAGAGTGTCCTAGTAAATAAGTGCTCCAGTGACTATCAGAGTTGGGGACAACTACTGAAATCCCAAGAAGCACACTCACGACATTTAGTTGTTTACACTTTAAGGTGAATTTTAAAAAATTTAAAGATTCAAGTGTATGTTAAGTTTGGGGTAATTAGGATAGTGATCCAAATGTTGTGATTATATCTTATATACTTTTTGTAGCGAAAAACTAATGAGTCTGATACGAACGACTGATAGGCAACTGTTTTGGATTTGCATTTACTCCTCCAGCTTCTAGGCTTGTGTAGAAGTGCCACAGCATTCTAAAAGTGGTGATAAATAACCCAGAGTGTGGCAGAGGTGATTTAAAAAAAATCAGTGCACTACTGATGTCTCAGTATTAGAGTAACCGCGTCAAATGATTTTTCCTACTTTATGGTTATCTGGTAAGTGATAGAGGTGATTTTAGAGAGAATGTAGAACCATTTTTGGTCTAGTTTACTTTTGTAGGCAGTGGTAAATGTTAACAAATGTGATGGCATAAAGTACTTACTAGAGAACTGAATGTTTGAATCTAACATATAATAAACTTGTTATTAGCACGGGTAGGGTCGCACATTACTTTCCCTGGACGTTCTTCACTCATATGAAAATTTCATTTGACATAGTTATTTCCCCCCAAATCTTCCAGCTTATATCATATATCAAATTATTCCTGTATTTTTATCAGTACTTATAATAAACAAATTTATTTTATAATTCATTATTTAAAAACTAATAGTGTTTACATGGATTTAGAATGCACTAAACTAGTAGTTTTCTACTACTAGATATGTTGCTTTTTTAAACCCCCACTACCTTGTAGAGAGAACCAAATAAATTTAAAAATTATACCACAGAACATGTAAATTACTGAGAACAGACCAAATCTCATCTTCTGAGTGAATTTGGGGCTGCCTATTTGTTCCTTCAGTAATACCTAAAGATGCACAAAACAGCTCTGTATTAGATTATTCGTCAATGTTATTTTATGAAGAAATTTAATAAAATTTACTACTCTGCAATCCACTGAGCACTTCCTAACTTAATTGTCATATTCTGCATTTCCTGAGATTTACAATTAAAATTGTGATGAGCCAGACACACAAACTATTCTTTGTGTGATGACAGGTTATTTGTATTTTACCAAAATCATCTTAGGTATTTACTTATAATAAAAGTTTTATTACAAATTGATTTTATTTACCTATAAGTATTTATATGTGACATACTTTTTAAGTCTTAATATTTTTCTTAATGCCCACCACCAAAAAAAATATATAGTTCAATTTACTATTTATGCCCATGCCAGATCCAGTTAATAAAAAATAATGACTCTGACATTTTATATTTTCCAAGGATGATCAAATAAGGAATGTTTTCCAGACCAGAATAAACATTTACTTTCATTAAGACATGTTTAGTCTTCCTTATATTATTGTCACTAGTCACCAGTATTGCTTCCTAAATTTTAAGACAGAGTAAGGCAATGTATTAGCTTACAATATTTTGTACCTTGTTTTTTTTAAGCCTAAGTTTAATTAGTACAAAGACCAATAATAATGAGAGATTACCAGTATTATTCTTATTTTGTGTGATAATAATGTGGCTTGAAAATAGGATATTTTTTGCTGAATATGGATACAGTAGCCCATGTTTCTTTGTGCTCATTCTCTTGTTTGTTTTTCCCAGTGATCTGGGTGAATGTGGTGGGCTTGTGGAATGATTAACAACTCTGTAAGAAATTTCATATTGTTACTAAATTGAGAGTCAACTTTAAGGATGATTTGTTTGGTCAATAATAGTGTTGTTAACTAAGAAATTTGAGAAAAAAGGCCGATTGCAAGTAACACTAACACTCAAAGTTCCATTATAGAAGTGTTTTAACCAGTTTCAGACACATTCAAATATCACTATGCTTGTCATCTGAATATTCTTTGCTTATTTGATGTATTTCATGACTTGAAAAATTAACCTTTTTGAGAGTCAACATCCTATATATAAAATAGAATTAGTACTACATAGCTTACAGAATTGATACAAGGGAAAACACATACACACAGTGTGGGGCAAAAGTAAGTTTACAGCTGTTCATTTGGAAAATAATAAAATCATCAATAAATAATACAGGAATAAACTGTGTTTTGCTTACTCACAGCTGTAAACCTACTTTTGCCCCACCGTGTAGATAGTATATAAGAAGGTACTTTGTCAACTACACAAACCTACAAATATTAATTATATTGCTGTTAAGACATTTAACTTGAAATATACAGAGGGCTTTTGTGTACATAAAATGTGAGGGTATAGAACTGTACATTTATAAATTTCAGTTATAAAACAAAATAATTTTTAAAGAAATCTTAGGAACAATTTATTGCTGCTAGCATAAAAAGAGGCAGAAGCCAAAGACAGAATCTTAGAATACATGAACAGTAACAAGTTGTTAATAAGAAAAAACATCAGATGAAAAGTGAGGTGGCAACCATGATGTAAAACAGAAATGGAACCACTGGGGAGACACAGCCACCAAACCTACCTGAGGGCAGGTCCATGATGGAAAATCACTCACCTCAGTGACAGGTTTGAAGGTGTTACTTTGTATTGAAGAGGTGGTTTTCAGCAGAATAGTCATGAGGAAAGAGGAAGAAATTCAGAAGAAGTAAGGGATGTCGTCTTTCCTTTATCTCTAATCTCAGCCCTCTCAATTGCCATGAAAACTTGAGAGAAGGAATATTCTAATGGATGCTCCTTGGTTTCTCATGCCTCAGCTTTGGAAAACCATCTCCCTAAGGAAAGAAAAAGAAGCAATGTGAAACTTAAAGACAAGCAGATTTTTACCCTAGGCATGTATTAGTCTATTCTGGCTACCGTAATAAAATACCACAGGGTGGGTATCTTAAACAACTTAATTTGCCACCGCTCCAGAGGCTGGAAGTCCAATGTCAAGGTTTCCTCAGGTTTTGTTTCTGATGAGACCTCTCTTCCTGACATGTAGACAGCTATCTCTCTCTACCTCCTCATATGTTCTTTGAATGCTCACAGAAAAAAAAAATCTCTGGTGTATCTTCTTGTCCTTGTATGCAGACCAGTCCTATTAGATTAGGGCTCCACCTTTAGGCCCTTATTTAACCTTAACTACCTCCTTAAAGGACCTATTTTCAAATACAGTTACACTGAGGGTTAGGGCTTCAACATATAAATGTTGAGGAAACACGATTCCTTCTGTAACAAGACTCCAAATTACAAAGTTCTAATGACTGGAAAAAGTTGCTCTCACCCAATCTTTAGGACAGTGGCTATAAAATAGCATTGAGTTAATAAAAATTCTTTTATATAAAGGAAGCAATTCAAAACAGGTTGTCCAGTTTTCTCCTACTGAAATGTCTAACTTGCATTCCTTCCATATTTCTGCCTTTAACTTTCCCTCCTGTCATTTCTATAGCCATGAGTTACCTTCCTAAACTTTGAGTCAGACCTTTTAACTCCTCTTTTCAAAACCCTTCAATGACTCCCCACTGCTTAATGAATAAAACCTACCATTTTAATTATTCATTGAGCTCTCAATAGCCTGGGTCCAACATGTATTTTCAGTCTCACCCATTTCTCCACTCTTTAGCCACAGAGGATTATTCACCGCGACGTGGACTGTCCATGCTTTTTAATGACACCATGCCTGTGCTGACTCAGCCCTAGATGCCCTCTCCCTCAAAGGTTACTTCTAAATCCTACAGCCTCAGCAAAGCTTTCCCCAATCATTGTAAGAAGAAATCACTCCCAAAACTCTCTGAGCATAAGTTAGTAGCATATATGTCTGTCTTCCCCAAAATACTCTGAGCTTGTTAGGACAGAGAATGTTTAATTCATAAGCCAGCATAGCTTTAAAAAAATCTTACACGCCCATCATGTAATAAGTGTTAAATAATTCTCACTGAATAAAGAAATGGTGAGGAATTGGGGATGCCATGTAGAATAGTTATTACTATTACAAATGTCTAATAGGTAAAGAACAGGAAAAAATAGAAAAGATCCTTAAGAAGTACACAAGTTGTTATTTCCTTTAAGGGGAGAAACTGTCTTTATTTCACAAAATGAAGCTATGAACACTTTCCTATGACCACTATATGAAATGGCCTCATAAATGAGAGACGGCCAGACTCTAACTCTCTAGGCATTACAACATAGAGCTCAACTGAAAAAGATTCATACATCCATTTTTCTTCTACAACAAGAACAACCACAAAAGTAGATATATAAGAGGAAAACACTTAAAATATTGCCCAACTTCTTTAACTACATTAATTTAAAAAAAATCTCTGTAGCACTCTCTATAACTCAGGGGAAAGCAGAAAAGTATACTATGGACAAAGTCCATTGTAGTAAAAAAAAATCTTGTTCAGAGTTCACACCAACTATCTTTTCATAAGAAATTATGCAGCAGCACAGTTAAAATGAAATACTAATTGTAACAAGAAAAGATGGTGGCTGCGGAATATAATTCACCCTTAATAGATTTTCTAATGCCTTTCTTTATATCGAAAAGGAGTAGCCCTTTAGCCAATAAAGTAAATTTTCTGATCTCCAAATGGGTACTTTATCCTCATTTAGGCTGATATTGCAGCGACATCATGAATTTCTCAGACAGCTTTGTGAATCAGCAGAGTATTTCAGAGGAGAGCATTGACTGCTAAAAGCAAAGTCGTTATTTTTTAAACAGCCTTTAAACTAGTAGATGGAACATTTCATTTTTGGTCAGGGATGCATTTGTTCTGGCAACCTGGAAGCAGAGGGGGCTGAAGCAGTTGGGAAGGAACAGAATAATGTGACTGTACTAGCCTAACCTCGCATTAGTTTTGTAGGTCAAACTTCTTTTGACTTTGTCTTTTCAGCATCCCTGTCTATAATTCCAGCATCCCTGTCTATAATTCCTTTTTCCAAAGAGCTTAAACAATATTCCATGAACTATCACCCTATGTTTCCAAAGAATCTTTGAAAAGGCATTAACTAACTTGCTCATAATAAACTTTGAGATCTAGAAAAACTGGTTTTCTTTTCAAAAAGCCTCAAAGAAAAGAAATTAAGGCAAGAAAAATGTGTGCTTCCTAATGCATCCATTCAACAAATGTTCTGAGTACTACCTTATGTCAGGCTGTGTTAGATGATGAAGCAACTACACCCCTTTCCTCGTTCCTGGTAATTCAATGATGTACAGTGTTCAAAGGCCAAGTTAATTGAATTCAAGATATCCCTATGCACCTCTTTCTACTGATGCAGTTGAGTGATTTTTAATGCTTTCATGGGATAAAATTTATATTTAAGTCTGACTCAGCCTTTTTTTCAGAAAGTAAAAATTGTATTTTATTTAGGCATAAAAAGTATGATACATTCTAAATAACGTGGTATCAAAATGTGTTTTCAGTGGCCACCTTTGAATCCTTCACCAACACACTCAACTCTCATTCCTTTGATTAAACTGTCCTCTATAAAAGTTACTTCAGTTTCCAAAAATAAGACTAGGTTTCATTAATTTATGATATACAACAGCTATTACATTTCATAAAAGAGACCTCATTCAACCGCCATTTTTGTTACCTCATATGCCATCCTTAGTAACCAACCCATCATTCTACCCACATTAAAAGTTCATTCTCTCAGTGTCCTGGCCTATGTTGTTTCACAATTAGATAATTAGAGTTATCCTCTCTTATCATCATCAACAAAGGCCCTCAGTCCTACCAACACATTTAGAGAAAGGACTGTGACCACAGAAAGCACCATAATTTAGGTTAACAGTTTCACATCTATACTCTGCCACTCCCTCAAGTTTATACAACACTGAATTAGAAAATCAGTGCACTAGTTTTCCTACTTACACAGATATGAATAGACTGCACCTAATAAAGTAGGTCATCTGATCTTAGTGATTTCTTCCTTGAGACCATCATGTGAGAAATGAAAAATATGTAATGAAACCATAATAACAACAGATTTTAAACTTCTGTTGTAAGTAATTAATACTAATATAGTGCTTTCAAGAAACCACAAACAATGGAATCAAATCACTTTATAAACTAAAAATAATGAGATCATTCCACAGATGTCCTTCTTCCATTGACACATAGCATGCTCATGAGTTTTAAATAATTTTAACTTCTCCCTGGACTTTTATATCTGAGGTCAGTTATATCTGAAGTCAGTCATGATCTTAAATAGCCTAACATAGATTTAGTTTAAGCAAAACTTTAGATATATTTTACTTTCCACTTTTTATTGAGATAAAATATCTTCCTTTGGAAGCTCTGTCTTCATCAAGAAATACCTTTAAAATGTTATATTGCCTATAGAATAGAGCTGAGAGTCTACATAGGATTGTTATAAAATATCTAATGCTGAAGTTGTGTGGTAGGGAAAAAATTTCTCATGCAGAATTGTTCTGTGTTATGGGCAAATACATTGATTGATTGTTATAGCTATGTGTATCCTCCTGTCTTTATATGAGTGTATTCTAGTGATTTTTTTCTATTGTCTAGTAAGTATGTATCCACTATGGACAGTTTAACCGTCAGATTTCCTGTGGCCATACACAGATAACATCTTTAAATCATCATTCTATGGCTTTACTTTTCCCTGCTGCCAACCTTTTAAACTATTAAAAAATCAAGAAAATTTGCACCGCAGAATGGTTATTCTCAAAATCAGTTTTCTCAATTTAATTTTATTCATAATTAGAAAATATGTGCATCATCTATACTATTATTTACATTTTCAACTCACACTTTATTCTTAAGTAAATTTAGCCTCACCCAAACAATAAATTGTGATCACTTGGTATTATACCTATGTGCACACAAATACATATTCTATTAAGCAATAAAATTAATGCATAACCATAAGTATATGCCATTTAAGCCAAGGATCGATTTTTTTCCTATAAAGATTCAGGAAACAAATAATTTAGGTTTTGCAGGCATCCAGTTTGGGGCTCAGCTATGCTGCACCAGGGCACCAGCAACCATAGACAATAGCCAAAGGGTGTAATTATACCCCAATAGATGTGTGTATGTGTGTATATGGATGTTATCTGAGGGCAAAAGTATGGACTAAAAATAAAAGAGAGAATATATTCATAGTCATTAAAATAGCACTGCTCTCGACATTTTACTGTCATATTTGATCTTTCAAGAGTTGACCCTCATGAATTCACAGCTAGAAAATATTGCTAGAACCAAGTGGTTAGAAAGCAGACTATTGGAAATAGTAACAATTTCATTATGTAGGAAATACAGAAATGCCAAAATCTTTAAAAATTAAATTAAAAATATGTGTAAAATTTGAAATGTGCAAATGGAGTGCATTACTTAGGGAAAAAGTGAAAAAATTGAAAAACAAGAGCAATGATAGCCCTGGCTGGTGTGGCTCAGTGGATTGAGCACTGGCCTGTGAACCAAAGGTCATTGGTTCAATTCCCAGTCATGGCACATGTCTGGGTGGAGGGCATGTGAGAGGCAACCACATATTGGTATTTCTCTCCCATTCTTGCTCTCTTCCTTCTCCTCTGTCTAAAAATAAATAAAAATATTTTTCAAAAACCCTTTAAAAAGCAATAGCAACTGATTAAAAACATATTTCTGAATGAGGAAAATATAATACCATAATTATTAAATGCTTATAATTTATCTGCTATATATATATGTCTACATATGCTTAACATACAATATATTAATACTTGCCCTGACCAGCATGACTCCCTTGGATAAGCATCATCTCATAAAGGGTAGGTTGTCAGTTCAATTCCAGAGCAGGACACATACCTGGGTTGCAAGCCTGCTACCCTGTAGGGGCACCTGTGAGAGTCAACCAATTGATGTTTCTCCTCTCTCTAAAAATACATAAGTATTTTTAAATAAATAAAATCCTGGTACTTTAGAAGTATAGAAGTATAGATTAAAAATATATCAATACTTCTATAACATATAATTTATAGTTTTTTAAATATATAGTGCTATATATAGGACTATATAACTATTTCAAGACAAATAAACATATCTTTTTTTTAAACTGGACAGTACAGGCAAAAATAATTGTTCCTACCTATTTTTATATATTATATGCCAAAATATTGGGAACAATGGATAAATTCTGAGAAACATATAACCTTTTAAGGCTAAACATGGAAGAAAGAGAAAATCTCAACACAACAATTATTAGCAAAAAAAATAAATGAAGCGGTAATAAAAATACTCCCAACAAACAAAACTCATGAACCAGATGAATTCTACCAAACATTTAATGAAGACTTAATGCCTATCTTCAGGCTTCCAAACTCATTCAACATTACCAGCATTTCCCTGATACCAAAACCAGACAAAGACATTACCAGCTAAGGAAATTACAGGACAATATTCCCTGATAAGCATAGATAAAAAAAATCCCCAACGAAAGACTGGCAAACTAAATTCATCAATATATTAAAAAGCTCATACCTCATAATCAAGTGGAATCTATTTCTGGGATACAATGTTAGTTCAATATCTGCAATTAATTAACATGATAATTGATTGTTAACCACATAAACAAAATAAAGGATAAAAATCATATGATCACATCAACAGATGCAGAAAAAGCATTTGACAAAATCTAACCCATTTATGAGTTAAAAAACTCATAGCAAAGTGGGAATAGAGGGAACATACCTCAACGTAATACAGTTTATACATGATGAACCTACAGCTAACATACAAGTGGTAAAAACAAATTATTTTCTTTAAGATCAGAAACAAGATGTTCATTTTCACCACTTCTAGTCAATGCAATACTAGAAGTCCTAGCCAGAGCAATAAGAAAATAAAGTGCATCTACATTGGAAAGAAGTAAAACTGTCAATATTTTCAGGTAACGTGATACTACATGCAGAAAACCCTTAAGACTCTCTGGTCCCATTTCCTCATTTTGTTCCCAGCAACAAATTTCAGTGACTCAATGAATTATAACAGTTGTCACAATAAAAACTGTTCCTCTATCACTGAATTAAAATATGTAAGTTATTCTGAATACTCTTCAGGAACCCTTTACTAATTTTTCAAACTTAAAATGCACAGAGGAGATGGTGTTTTCTAGCTTACATGTTAACTTGAAGGAAATTACTGCCCTTGAAGATTTATGAGATTTTCATCTGAAGTGTAATCGTCACCCTGGATGGAAGCAAGTCCAACTGTGGTCAGTGAACTGTCCAGGCTCCGGAGTCATTTGAGGACACACATGGAGCTTTCTCACTTATCTCATGTCACGTCTTTCTCCAGCATTGCAGCTTAGATCAGCAGGGGTGAACATAACAAGAACTTGTTTTTTGAAAAGATAATATTTTATAAATAGGAAAGGGCTGTGTAAGATATGTTGCAGGCAATGTTTATAATTTAGTCAAGCGAAAACCTGTTTAAAGACAATGTTTATAGTTTTTATGATTTAGAGGATCTTAAATTTCACGTCTTAAGACTTTATTTGGCAAAGATGCTTTGTATATTTTCAAGTTCTTATTAACTACTAAGTTTTTCCTTGTGTCCTCTGGAAAAGCTTCCAAAAAAGTTGTAACATTATTTTCTTGAAATTTCTATTTTTTTAATTTATAATGCATATTCATTGCTGAAAGGGTAGAAAATAAACAAATATATACAGAAAAACAAAATTAATTATCCTAATAATACAGAATCAGGAAGAATAAGTCCTGCTTGAATATGGTTGGTAGTGTAATAATATGAGTGTAATATTTTATAGCTTTAATTTGAACATTTCAAACTAAAATGTCTTATGGTGTGTTTCAGTGTAATATTGGTATGTTACAGAGTTACATGCTTATGATTTTGTTATTAAAAAGGGCACTATTTGGTCCAGACCCTGTATTTTACAAATATGTTCTATTTTTTATCCTATAAAAACATTTAAATACTACATATTCAAAAATAAATCATATGTGCACATGTTAAATAAAGTAATGGGTGCAGTATTTGATTCCTACTATACTTGTGATTTTATAACCTTTTATATTTTCCATGATATTAAATTGCTCTTAATTATATATTTTAGTAATTATAATGCCTCACATTCATGGAATGTTTATCACATGAGAAGCACTATTCAAAATCTGGCATACACTTTATAATGTATTCATAGAAGCAATCTTTTTTGTAGTTAAAGCATCTGAGGCTTAGAGTGTTAAACTTACCTGCTAAAAGTCAAAGCATCAGGTGATGGCAATGGAATTCAAATCCAGGCCTATCTCCAAGTCTGAATTCTAAAGCTACTCTATTTTTTTTCACTTTAAAAAATAGCTCCATAACTTTTCCATCATATAAATTTGCTAAACTTAATTAACTTCCACTTTTAGAGATTTAACTTGCCTCCATGTTTTTAATTGTGTCAATGTTTTATGAACATTTTATACATAAAAAATATGCGAATAGCTGATATTTTAAAGAAAAAATTTCTATACTGTGTATATATTTTGAGTTGTTTATATATAAATGTCCACCAAGCTGCACTTCCATTAAGGGTTTTATATTTAGAATTCTAAATGGTGAATACCTCTTGCCTAAACACTTGTAACACCAGTAGTATTTTTGACACAGGCTTGTTATTAGGTGGCATAAAATATTTCTGCATTATTTCACCCTATCTCAACAAAGAAATAGACATCCATAAAAGCACTCACGTGGGAGCTGTCACATCCAGCACCACACACCAAGGGGCTCAGGACGAGTCTGGCCATCCTGTGCATCTGGGAGTAGGCAAAGGACCATGATACAGGCTGTGGAATAAGCAGAGAAGCAAATGTGCCCCAACCCCTCTTGCTGAAGTCAAGAACAAAACACTGACTGCTAACCTGTACAAAAAAAACACTGACAAGAGTGAAATAGAGATCCAGCCTTTCCAAAGAGGAAGCATACCACTGGTGGAGGAAAAAGAAAAAACACATGCATAAATCTGGGCAGAGCAGAGCTGGTCAGAGGAAATTTACCAGCGCACCCTGCCCACTAAAGCAACTCTTCACAGGGCTGACCTATCAGGAGGTGGTGACCTCTCCCACAATGAAAAAGGGAAGTGCTGGGTGAATGCACAGCTAATGCAGAAGTACCAGGTTCAGCTGGAGAAGGCAGATGCTTTCCAGGAGCACTCAGTGCTAAGACAGGAGTTCCATAACTAAGAGGAGGGAGAAGATCTGGGAAAAGGCAAATCAGAATATCAAGGGACATTAAAGACACATAATTTCTACTGAGTTAAACAGTAAGTACACCATGAGAATATGGCACTATCATACCCAAGGACTTCCATACCAGATCTTTGATTTCTTAGTGCCTCAAGTACTAAACCCACATCTCTCTCTACTCTGTAGGCAGTTCTTTATGTGTGCTTCCAGTTGCTGCTCCAAGAGTGAGCAAGCTCTGGTTGAAAGGAAGTTAGGTCATACACAGGCTCAGGGTCTATGGGTGAGTAAGAAATGATAAACTTGAGCTATAGGGCCACCTTCTAAAACAGAGAGTAGGAAGGGTCCAGTAGCAATATTGGTGAGTTGTAAGAACCAGGGAAGACATAAAAGATTAAGTTGTGCCACAAGCAGTAACATATAAGTTACAGGTATGTCTGTATAAGGTTAAATAAAGTAAAAGACATAAGACAAATAAAAAAATATTTCCCACTAGAAGACAAGTAACAATTTGACAAGTCTGCTATTTTAAATGTAAAGACAACAATGCAAGATGCTAAGGAGTATGAACCAAGGAAACATGTCACCACCAAAAGCAGACATTAGCGCTCCAGTAACCAAACTCAAAAGCATGCATTGAATGCTTTTTGAATGCATTAGTGCTTTTGTGACTTAGCTGATAACTCAAATAACTGTTTTAAGGAAACTTAATGCTCAATGAGAAAACAGGACACTGAAATCTGGAAAACCATGAACAAAATGAGAAATTCAATAGAGAGACAGAAATTTAAAAAAAATAAATTCTGGAGTTTAATAATGAAAGTTTTAACATGCAATACAGAGCATGTATAGTAGAATAGAACAAACATAAGATAGAATCAATGATCAGAAGATAGAAACTTTGAAATAATCCAGGCAGAGGAAAAAAAGAAATGAAAATTATCAGACACAGCCTACACAGTCTATGAAATACCATCATATGTACAATTAGAATAATTGAAAGCTCAGGAAAAAAAGAGAGAAAGAAGGAGGCAGTTTAAAAAAATATCTGATCACTACCCAAATCTGTGGCGAGACTTAGATATTCAAGTTCATGAAGCTAACAGTTTACCCCATCAATGCAAAAAGACCTTCTCCAAGATACATTATAAAGACACTGTCATTATCAAAGATAAACATAAAATTTTCAAAGATCTAGTCATCAAAGATTATCTAGAAGCAGCTAAGAAAGAGATTGTAACTTACAAACAAATCCCCATTAGGCTATAATGGGGTATCTCAACAGAAACCCTGAAGACTAGAGAAGAAAGAATATGCATATATTCAAAGTATGAGTATACATAAAATTCCAGCCAAGAATAAACTATGAGTCAAAGTTATTTTTCAGATATGATGGAGAAATAAAGACTTTTCCAGACAAACAAATGCTGAGGAAGTTGATCACCACTAGTACTCTCTTCAAGTTGAAATGAAAAGACACCATTTATCATCATAAAAATATGAAAAAGTATGCAACACACTGGTAAAGGTATTATATAGTAAGCCTTAGAAAACTAATTCTGTAATATTGGTATATTAACACTTACCTTTAGTACAAAAGTCAGTGGAAAGCACTATCAAAAAGTATTGTAGTTACCATTATTTTTAAATAAATATACAGCATAAGAATATAAATAATATCAAAAATATGGAAAGTTAAGCTGCTGTCAGCTTAAAATGGACAAGTTTATCTATGAGCAGTCTTATGTAAGCCTCATGGTAATTATGAAGCAAAAATCTAGAGTAAATGCACCAAAACAAGGGGAGGAACAAAACATACTATCAGAGAAATTACCAATTTCTAATGGAGCAAAAATATAGATAAAAGCAACAATGGAAATATAATAAAGCAGTAAGATGACATTGGTAAGTCCTTACAGAGAAATAATAATTCTAGGTGTAAATGAATGAATTCACCAAATAAAAGACACAATGTCTGGATGGACCCAACAATAGGCTGCCGGTAAGAGTCTCACTGCAGCTTTAAGTAGAGACATAGATTCCGAGAGAAGAAATGGAAAAACAGATTCCATAAAAGTAGAAACCAAAAGAGACTGGAAGGAGATATACTTATATCAATAAAATAAAGTTTAAGTTAAAAACTGTAATGAGAAACAAAGATTAATATAAAATGATGAGAGTCAATCATCAAGTATATATAGCGATCATAAATATAAGCACTCACAAATATATGTGGATCTACTTCAGAGTACCTAAATATATTAAGCAAATAACAACATATCTGAAGGGAGAAATAGATTCCTATAGGAGACCATTCTGCCTGGCATGGGCCCAGCTCCCACTTGGAGATGCACAGGACCCATGCCCATGGATAGGTTCTCCCATGGGGAATCAGGCCTGCAATATGCCTAGGCAGCTTTGAGTCTTGCTTTTTGCTAAAAACTCCCTCACCAGGATTTGTGGCAAACCTTTACGGCAGAGTAACTTCCTAAAATCCATGCTAAACCTTCCAAGGATGAGGGTAAACAGTTCAACCACTTTTCCCTTTTCATTTGCAAATATCCCTCTTCTGTGATGTGATTAGCAGCATTGTGTTCTTTGTTTTCTGTAAAAGGTAATCACCTAAAGCAACCTGTGCATAGTAAATTAGGACCATCACATAAATTGTTTGAGAAACCCAGTAAAGGCCGATCATGGCAAGGGGCCACAGCTTTTGCTCCCCTTGAGAGAGAAGCCATGCTGTCCCTTTTCCTCCACTGGACTCTGTGGTCCATGTGAATGTCTCATTGCATCCATAGTGACTTGGACACTGGGGGCCGGTGTCTGAATCAGACTCCAATGCAATAAAAGCAGACAAATTTAGCACCCCTCTTTCAGCAAAAAGATCATCAGACAGAAAATTAACAAGGAAACTTTGGGCTAGTACCATATATTGGACTATGTGGATCAAAATGCTTTTATAGAACATCCCACTCAACAGAGAGAGAACATACATTCTTTTGAAGTGCATGTAGAATATTTTCCAGAATTAACCAGATGATACGAAACAGAAACAGGTCTTAGCAATTCAAGAACAGTGAAATCATACCAAATATTTTTTCAACCACAATGGTATGAACACTTACAATCCCATTTTATGAGACTAGCATTACCCTGATACCAAAGCCACAGAGGACACTGTAGGCATGTATATTCCTGAAAAACAGATAAAAAATATTTTCAATACAATTCTGGCAAACTGAATTCAGCAGTACATTAAAAGAATTATACTCCATGATTAAAAGAGAAATATCCCTGGGATGCAAGGATGGTTCAACATGCACAAATCAATTAATGATTATGTTTTTTTCTTTTACATATTATTGCGATATGTCATCTCAATAAATGTGGAAAAAGAATTTGGTGAAATTTAAGATCTGATCATGGTAAACTCTGAAAAAACTGGGTATAGAAGAAACATACCTCAACATAATAAAGGCCATGTATAGCAAACCCACAGCTATCATAATACTAAATAGTGAAAGACAGCTTTTTCTCTAAGGTCAGGAACAAGACAAGGGTGCCCAATCTCACCACTTTTATTCAAAATACCACTGGAAGTCCTGGCAAGAAAAATCAATGAAAGGCAACAAAACTAGAAAGGAAGAAGTAAAATTGTCTTAATTTACAGATGACATGATTTTATATGTGAAAAAATCCTACTGATACCACCACAAAAATTAGGATCTAATCAACAAATTCAGTAAAGTTACTGGATATAAACTTAACATATAAAATCAGTAGCAATTCTATGCACTAACAACAAATCATTTGATAAGTAAATAGGTAAATAAGTAAAATGATCCCACTTACAATAGCATCAAGAAACAATTTTAAAAAATAGGAACAGATTTTGTCAAGAATTTGAAAGATCTCTGATGCAGACCCTGGCCCACAAGGTCTGTGTGTTGTGGCTGCTATGAACAAACTCACACGGACTGCAGAAGTCCTGTGGAGAAAAAAAGATGGCATGGCCACTCTCTGAGTGAGAGAGGGACCCAACCCCTGCCTAGACAGGCTTTTATTGATTTTCTGGGCACATTACATCAAGGATGGTCCTCATTTACTATGCACAGATTCGCTTCAGGTGGTTAACTTTTACAGAAAACAAAGGAGAGGGTGTTGCTAATTATATCAAGAAGGATATTTGCAAATGTAAAGGAAAAAGTAGTTGAACTGGTTACACACATCCTTGGGAGGTTTAGCATATATTTTAGGAAGTTACTTTAAAGATATGCAGTAAACATTTGCTGCCTCAATTCAGGGTGAGGGAGTTTTAGCAAGTCTCAAAGCAGCCTAGGTACAATGCAGGCCTGATTCCCCATGGAAAAACCTATCCGTGGGTGTGAGTCCTATGTGCCGACTCGCTACCCACTGGATTTTCCAAGTCAGGAGCTGGGCTACATTCTCCGTTCCCCACACCACACAGAACAGTTTCCTATAGATCTCTACTCTGAAAACTGAGACACTAATGAAAGAAAATGCAGAGACATAAATAAATGGAAAGATAACCAATGTTCATGAGTTGGAAAAACTAATACTGTTAAAGTATTTACACAAAACAAAGCTATCTATACACAATGCAATCTTTATCAAAAAATTCCAATAACATTT